TAGGGGTAAAATTAGTATTATGGGCAGAGGCATTACCTTGAATCCGACTAGAGGAAGTTGGTGTAGCCGAATTTCCAGCTTCGTGGGTTGCTCGCCGTGGGAGGTTTCCCTTCCAGGAAGGCGAGTTGGAAGTTTGGTAGGTACGGGCCCCACGCCTTAATTTCTTTCCCCTCTCGGCCTTGATGGCAAGTTCAAGGAGGTCATGGATGTCCACATAATGTTGGAGCTCCAAGGCTTCCTGAAGGTCAGGATTGAGACCTCTAAAAAACCTGGCCATGGTCGCTTCACCATCCTCTTGAATGTTTGCCCTCATCATGGCCATTTCGATCTCCTTGTAATAGTCCTCTACACTCATGTTGCCTTGAGTGAGGGTTTGCAGTTTGGAGTGGAGATCTCGATTGTAGTAGCTTGGAACGAATCTCTTACGCATCAATGCCTTGAGTTCTCGCCAAGTTCGGACGCGTGGTTCTCCCATTCTCTTTCTATGGGTCCTTACTTGGTCCCACCAGACTAGGGCGTAGTCGGTGAACTCAACGGTGGCAACCTTTACCTTTTGTTCCTCACTATAGTCATAACAGTCGAAGACCATCTTGATACGGCCTTCCCATTCCAAGTAAGCCTCAGGATCACTCTTGCCTTTGAACGCGGGGACTTGAATCTTAAGCCCCTTGAGTTCGTTCTTAGACGTGTCCCTCTTAGGCCTCTCGGCATGTTTATCATCCTCACTACCCGAGTAGCTTTCGCCATTGGCATCCCTGGTGTCACGGTTACTCCGGTTGTGAGATCGAGAACGAGAGCCTCATGTGAGACTCTTGGAGAGTTCATCAAAGCGAGTGTGCAATTCCTCCATTTGTTGCTCACTAATTCGCCTGAGCTCGTTCTTCATGGTGGTGAACATCAAGGAATAGTCAGTGGGTGGTTGTTGTTGCTCCATGTCTCTTTTGATGCCCTGCAAAAGGTTAGTAACAAGAAGGAATAGTATAAATATATATCCTCACTTCACTCCCTTAGTGTATCACTCACGCTCGTGTATGGCACTCAAAACGCTCTATTAGACTTACCAAGTACCTTTACCTGTTGGATTAGGTAGTTGAGAAATATTGCTCGAGTCCAATAATCGTCACCAACTTTTCCCACAAGAGTAAGCAAGAGTGTAGGACACAATTGGGTGAGATTTTGAGAAGGAATGGACGAGATTTGAAAGGTTATGGGTAGCGGGCAGATTTGGAAATAACGCTAAGGAAGGAAACCCTAGATTTCCTAAGATGTAGGAGAGGTTCCTAAAACGTAGGAGTGAAAGTAGGGGTGGTTTCCTAAAACCAAGGAGTTATTATAGGAGAGTATCCAAGTGGGACAAGGAGTTATCCAAGTGTTGTACTTAGTCTCCTAAATGAATTTTGGAAAACAAGTTGGGTTTGGAAACTTCTTAGAAAAACCCTTCTTTTGAACAACTTTAGAAACCTCCAAATTCCTCTCCAAAACAGATTTGGTTTCTTTCCTCCCTCAACCGAAAGTTTCCAGAATTTTCCTCCTTAAAAAACCCTTCCCCAAGTCGGCTACTCCCTTATAAAACTCTCTCTCTCACAGCCGCAACTTTCTCCAAGACACTCCAAGAAACTCGGCCCCTTCACACTTCAAAGAACAAAACAACTCGGCTCCCCCCCTCTCTTTGCAAGGCAAGGCAGCCTTGGTTCTTGTTTCAAGACAATGGCCTCCCAAGATAATGTGAGCAATGTCACTCAAGGATCCCCCCAATGGGCTGCTCAAGAAACTCCCACGAAGTTTAGTCCTAAACCAAGAAAGCCCCGTATGGATGCAAGAACATACAAGAAACTTTTTATTCGAAGGGAGGTGCAAGTTTTCAAGAAACAAGATGGTCAAGACTTTCAAGAACCTCAAAGGGTGGTTCAAGTGATCAAGGCTCAAGGTGATCAAGAATTTCAAGAAGAGGTAGGCCAAAACTTTTGAGTTTCTTTCTTTTGTTTGTTCAAATTTTCTGGTTGGCTTAGAAACAATATGTAATGGTTGTTGTCTTGGCAATAAAAAACCCAAGTCCTTCCTTTCTTCTTGTCCGGCCTTTGTTCCACCCGAATTGCTTTCTTCTTTTCTTTTTTCGATTCTGTTTTTTTTTTGACTTAACCAACAACACAAATACCCGGCCGAAGTAGTAAAAATTCCAGAAATAATGCAGCCCCTCAACTCACACAATCGAATAGCCGAAAACTCCAAGATCTTGCAAGATACTTCCAAGAATTTCAAGAACTTCTAGGTGGTAACCAAGATCTTCAAGAAACTCAAAAAAAATCTGGTAGGTTCCCTTCAAGATTCCCACCCCAACAAGTTTTAACCAAAAATTCAGTTTAGAAAATTAATAAAAAACAGCTTGGACGGCTCACAACGGATTTGGACAGATTTGGAAGGAGACAACAAAACCCCTAGCGCGCAAGGAAACCCTAGCCGCCTCTAGTTTTCGACTTTCTTGCTGCCCAAGGGACACTACGTGAGCAAGACAGGTTTGGGTAGGTTCAAGACAGAATTTTGCATGCCACCAATGCTCACAAAACCCGCGGACAGATTGCAACTCAACGTTCGCGACAAGGGTGAAACCCTAGCTGCCGCACGCGTGGCTTTCTCCTTTTTTTTTTTTTTGTTACACAACGAACTACACGGACAGAATACTTCGAACAGCAACACACAAAGAATACGGGCAGAATTGAACAACAAAGTCACGACTGAATTGACGCAACAAGACACAAGAAAAATTGCGGACAGATTTTTTTTTTTGACAAACGACGCAACAAAGGATATAACTAGACGAACAGAATTTTTTGAAACAAGGCTGCAGAATCAACTAAAAACTAAGACAAAGCTACGGATATAACGGAAGATACCTCCACCAAAGCTCTGATACCAACTGATACGTTCCTCGATCAACTTGTTTCGAGACACGTAGCACGTTGCCCAAGGATCTAGCGAGGTTGTCCAACGCTTGGTTTGCGGAACCTAGAATCAAACGGACGACACGTTTTGATTAAAGGCGGTAGAACGACACTCCGATGAAAGTGAATACTCCAGGGGAATAGGTCGGTTGAACAATCAAGGACAGGACGCAAGATTGCTCAAAAACCCTTGCCAAAGCAAGTTAAAGGCTCGAATTCTCTCTTAAGAAGAAACCGAAAATATTAAGAACTTTATTCATAAAACTTGTGTTTAGAACCTTACAAAGCTAGCCTTTTTATAGGCTAAAGGTTACTAAAAACCCTAGAAACCCTAAGGGAAGCAGTCGGCCATCTTGGTGTCAAGATGGGCCGGCCCCTGCTCTACTAAAGCGCCTAAACTAACTCTAAGTAAATTCTAAGGCTTAAAGCCCTACTCGGCCAACTCTCTTGGAGGCCCACTTGACTCTTCATGGGCTTGGATCATGGTGTAGATGATTTGGTTGTCTCCTTCTAAGCCTTCAATATCTCTATGGACTCCATGTTGGTCTTGGACAACACGAACAAGGCCTTGGAGGGATTCTTTGAAGAGCTTGGCCCATGCACGTGTGACCGGGCCCAATTGAACCCGGACTGGGTCATTACATGGGCTGAGGTCCATGCACACATCACTTCCATTCTTTGTTTGCTCACTACATATTCAAATGCAATTTATTTTTGTATGATATTGTGCATTTTTTTAATTCTTCTTTTTCCTTTGCTTGCATATAGTTTTGGGATAATCTGTTGTTTATACATTTTCCCCTTTGCTTGCTTTGTTTGTAAAACCTGTCATTCTATAATTCTTTAGGGGCCAGATTTTTTTCTTCTGATAGAGTTGTTGGACGATAGGCTCAAGGCAGAAAAGGGGCTGGTAATCTCCCCCCCTTCCCTCTATCGATTTCTCCCATTTCTGCCTCTTGTTCTTCTTCATCTCCCTCCCTCCCTCTCTCGAGTGATTATAGCTAATTTTTTCTATTTTTCTGCCATCTTCTTGGCAAAAAACAATCAATTTTTCCCTCCTCTTTCGTGTCGTTTTCAGAAACAGCGAGAAAGGGAAGTTCAATATTTCGTCCCGACTATCTATGCGAATTTGTAGAATACAGATATGGTAATTTTTCTTCCCTTTTCTTTCTGTGATTAATGTATTTGTTGCATTTCAGTTTTTTATTTTTAGTTCCAAGAAAAACTTTTAATATGATCTAAGATGGTGAATAATTGATTATTAGCTAGCTTTTAGATATTTATTTACTTTATTTTTGGTACCTACTTGATTTTTATTGTTCCATTTTTCTTTTTCAATTTTGCCTTTCTTGGATTTCTTCTGCAGCAGGGAGGAAAAATGACCACTCGTGAAAGGCAACTGCTGTGGGAAAAATGTAAGTTTTGTTTTATTATTCTGATTTAACTTTTTTCTTTAAATTGCTCTCTTCATACCTCAAATGATGGTATGCTTTTCTTTTTAGCCATTTTCTTTGGCATTTGCTCTTTTTGAGTTTTCTTTTTAGTCATTTTCTTGTGTCTTTCGTGCAGGTGTTTTGTTGATCTCCAGCTCAGAAAAAGCAATCCATATGGTAACTAAAAAGATTCACTTGTTTAAAATAGATTTTTTGATCTTTAAAATGTCTTTCTATTTGCTTCAGTTTTTCCTGTTCCCTTTTCTTCATTGGATTTTCAACACTTGATGAATATACTTCTCCTCTGGGAATCAGGAACTTCCCTGTCAAGTTAATCGTTGATCAAAATTTTGAGTTACACTAGTAGTACCTATTATCTTTTGCTTGAAGATGATTAATGCAAAAGATATTAAAGCCAAATTTATAATCGAGGCAGCTAATCATCCTACTAATCCAGAGGTAGATGAGGTTAGTATAGAGGTCAAAAGGCATAGCGTCTCAAAGCAAAAATAACATGTGCAGGGAAGCAACTTAACTAACCTTGGCTTTACTTTACAGATATTAACAAAGAAGGGAGTTGTTATACTCCCAGACATATAGGCAAATTCCGGAGGTGTTACAGTCAGTTACTTCAAGTGGGTTCAGGTATCCATTTAGCCCTTCATTTCATAATAATCCAGAAAACCTCTGGTCTTAGTTCAGCACCTGTAGTGGTTTTTTCCTCACAAAAAAAGCATGCTATGTCTTTGTGTTTGTTTTCCTAAAATTTTTTCTAAACTCCTCAATCACTATATGGAATGCAAGTCATGGTTTTCTTTTCTTTTCTTTTTTTTTATCTCTCTCGTAAGGATTTAGCTGACTTTTTCAATATATTTTTTTAGTAGATTATGTTGGACTTGGAGAGATGGCTGTGTTTTTCATTTTCTTTCTTCAAGTGGAAGATGATAAAGAAGATTGAAGATGAAATGATTGTGATTTTAATGGATGTTCTGACATTATTTTATTCACGAAGTGATTATTAACTTAATAATTGTTTTTAGAGTTTCCTTTTTTATCCCTATTCTAAAACTCGCGTCTTGTTTTAATGGCAGTTATGTGATAGAAGAAGAATGAACAACAACTATTGGTAGGTTTTTCCTTTTAGTAATTTCATGTCTTTTCTTCCATGCAAAATGTTTGTTAAACTCCTAGCTCACAAAGGGTATTCTTTATGGTTCCCTGGGTTTTTAAGAACTAGAGAAGTAAGCATTTTCATGTTTGTTTCTTTCTCTTGTCTCTTTTATCTTGTGCTTCAATTATTATTATTTTTTTGCTAAACATCTGGTCAAGTGGAAACAATGGAACAAGGCTTTCTTTTATGTATGTGTATGTGTGGTTAAAAAATAAATGATTATTTTGAGCAAGATAATGAACAAATGATAAATTGTGAGATTGGCATTTAATGGATGGGAAGATGTCTTGCTGGAGTTATCTCATGTCAAGAGTGTTCCAATCCTTTCTATCAAAGAAAAAAAAACTATTCCCTCTTCTTTCTATGCAAAAAACAAATTTTCCCTCTTTGCTGGTGGGTGAAATACAAATTCATGTATCTGCAACAAATTCTTATATCCACCTTTTCTCAATTAGGCAACTAGAATTTTCTAACACCTTTATGTAAAAAAGAAAATTAAAATCTAAGAATTACATAGAGAATAAATTGCGTTTCAAGATTTAAAAAGTAAACTCTTAACAAATACCAAACTAATATATTGAAATTTCTTTGTAGCTTTTGCTTTATTTTTTGGAGCTTTTTGTTCTATCATTGAGCTTTTTAAGAAAGAAGAGAAAATTTTCTTTTAGTTTAAATTAATGTCCTATGTTCATTCATGTTGTCTTGGTGAAAATGTGGCATGAATGAAATATAACTACAGGATTTATAAGCTAAAATGCATATGTTGTTTTTGATTTTCTGTTCTTTATTTGTTTACCTAGCATTCATGTTTAAGAAAAAATTGGTTGGCAGGAGGTATTTATCCGAATAAGATGGTGGCTCAAAATGCATCTGCTGTTTATTGGCTTTCTATTCTTTATTTATATATCCAACATTAATGTTTGAGAAAAAGTTGAATGGCAAGAGGTATTATTCAAATATAATGGTGGCTCAAACTTAGGAGTAGGGAATGTGTTCTTGACGACTTTGTTTATATTTCATGTTTTACTATTTCCTTACAATTTTGCAATGAAGTGTGGCGAAAACTACGGGTGCGTTACCTGTGATTTAGCAAGATTGTCATTCTACTATTTACACAAAATGTTATTAAATTCTAATATGATTCATTCTTGGCAGATCTGATTGATATTTGGATAGCTGGAACTTGGAAGCTAATGGAAACTTATGGAGTTTTGTCATGAATGCTTGATACTTTGTTTTATCCTTTCCAATATCTTTACCAGAAGTCATTAGTTACTTCAACAGGCACTTGCTATAGTAGAGATATCAAACTTTGTGATGCTTTATTTTTTGAAATTTTCACCACTAATACATAGTTCCACTATAATTGGCTGATTGAACGCGACGGAAGATAAGAAAGACGAGAGGCATTTCTAGATATAGCAGTCAATATTTTTGGATGAATGTATCTTATGTCTTAAATTGTAACTTTTCACAGGTAATGAGATGCATCGTACAGTTGGTGAGCTTACCTCAATTATGTGTTATTATGCTCTTCAACTTTATTAGTGTTATTTCTTTTCTTAATTGAAATGTTGACAAAATGCTTCATTATCTACCACATACAAAAAATGATAAAAAAATAATTTATGGTTGGAAAAATAAAGCCAATGAGGGCTCTGGTCATATTAGCCTTTTAACTTCCCACTGGGCATGTTAAACTTGTAACTTCACACCACACATAGTGCGGTGTTCCTCTCCTAGTGTAGTGTAGTATAGAAACAATCACATAGATTGAAAGATGAGTAAATGTAATAATTCTTCTAACTTGATTACTTTTTGCCAATTAAGTTTGCATCTTTGTTATGTATTAGATCTATAATTGAATTAGAAATATTTGAGTAAATAAAGTTAAAGTTTGTATAAGGTATACATGAGAACAATAATATGAATATTTATAACTTTCAAAGATTTTTCATTTAGCACATTTGATGCATTGAATTTGTTTTCATCATTCAAAAACCAATATACCTAAACATCCTTTAGAAGTTGTCTAAGCATTTCTCACCTAAATATTTATTGAACTACGCATATTAATAATTTTTGAGTATTAAGGTCAAACGACAAATTTACTGACTAGGCAAGGCATCGCTTTTATAATTGAAATATGAGAAGATTATCCAAAAATTCACATATAGAGTTCCACATGTTAGCTTTTGCAAACCCAATATGCTCGAGTGGGTCAGTGCATTAGATTAAGCACTCGGTGTAGTTGAATGCTTGATCACAAATTATGTTTTAGCGCGAACAAACATGTTATGTTGTTTTTCACATCTGCACTGGTAGGGTCTCTCTTGCATGAAAGCTTGTTCTCTCTCTAGTAGGGAGCCAAAATCCCCCTAGTGGGTGTTTTTGAAAAGTGACTTTCAAAACTTAAAAATTTTTGTACCTTCTACCTTTTCCCAAAAAGGTCCCACCTTTCTAGACATTAGAGCATAGATATACCTCGCCTTCAACAAACATTGATAAAATTCATAAGCATTTATGCATTATCACGGGCTGTCTTCTTCAAAAAAGTTAGCATAAATAAAATATCTTCAGCTGAAGTACTTCATTGATGCACTAGATGCCAAGTAGATTGTTGATATGTTTTTAGTTTCGTAAATCTTTCCTCTCTATTTCTATTTTAGTATCATAGCTCTTCCCTCTTTTTCTTTAATTGTAGTTTCTACTTCCTTGTTGTTTATTGTTCGTGGTAATTGGCTTGTGCTTCTATTTTTGCTACGTTTATCTTCTATTAAAATTCCGGTGGCTATTTCTAATCTTTCTATTTTGAATCCAAGCTAGTAATTGTTGAGGAATCCTTGAAAGTTGGTTTAAATGACTGAGGAATTAGAAGAAGTGTTAAGGAAATTTGCTTTAATAGACAAGGAAGGAGATAGAGTCCAGCTTGATGGAGGGGATGTCTCTCAAGGGATTGAGGAATGCCGAATGAGTATTATTGTTAAGTAGTGGGAGAGAAAATGACAAACGTTGCAAGTGTTAAAAGTTTCACTAGAAATATCCGGCTTTTTGCCAAGAACCTGAAAGTGTGAGGACCCATATTTTTATTTTATTTATATTTATTTATTTATTTTACTGATTTATCTATTTATTTAATTATTTATTCATTTACTCCAATTAAATTATTTCATCCATTTTAATCGCATTTGCATGGTACAGTACCCCAATTTATATTCTAGCACATTCGTTTTTAAAGTTAAATTTCCTACGGTTCGATTAGTGAGAATTAGTGAAAACACGTTTTTCGAGGTAATATTCGGTCCGAGAGTACAGTGGTCTTGGAGAGTTAAGGGTGATCAACTGTAGACTAAGAAAAGTTAATTGAGGGATTAGAGGTGAGTGAGTTGAATTAAATTCAATTTGAAGCACTAATAGCCCACTATTCATTTGTCGACTTTTTACACCAAGGTAACTTTATGTCATATCAACTTTCTCATCAAATCACATCACACAAAAAGCTACCAAACCCTTTCTTTTCTCTTCCCTTTGGCCGGCCACCCCTCTTCATTTTTGGACAAAAATTGTAGCTTCATCTTCTTCCATTTTGCTCCCAAAAACTCACTCCAAACTTGCTCATCTTCTTGGATCATCACTCAAGCTTAAAAGGAGACTTGGAGGAGGAGAGAATCTTGGTGGTTTAGAATTTAAACTCTTGTGGTTTTGTCTACTACACTTGGAGGAAAGGTAACTCTCCCAAAACCCTCATTTTTCCTTCCAACTTATGGTTAGTTTAGTTAGTTTTAACTAGTTAAGCTTGGGTTGTTGATAGATTCAATGAACCTTGACTTTAGGTAGATGTCTTGAGGTGGATTCTTAGGTAGTGGCCTTGAGGAATTATTGTTTGTTTGGTTGTTGTTTTAGTGAATGGCAACTTGGTCTTGGTTGTGAAAGTTGAAAAGAAAAGTTGAAGAGGAAGGAGAGCAAGCTGTCCGAAATTTTGCTGGTTCATTTCCCTCATTTTAATTTCGAATTTTGTGGTTATTTTGATGCCAAAATGCTTTTATATGTTGGTGTTTATGTGTGTAAATTATCTCCCAAAAAGCACTGCATTTGGTTGAGTTAAAGTTAGGTTAAAGTGAGGAAGCAAACCTGGAAAATTTCTGATCAGGATAGCATACCAGTGTGTACTCAACAGGCCATAATTTTTCGTTTAGGAGTCAAAATCAAGTGTCGTTTGTGGCATATGAAACTAGACTCCGAGAGCTTTCTAACGGTATAAAAAGCACCTGCTAGTTCATTTTCTATGAGCCGTAGTGAACCGGAAAATTTGGCTGATTTTCCTCATTGTTTTAATCCGAGAAACAAGCATAGTTGCAGTTTGTAGCTCATTTTCACTCATCTTAAAAAATGAATTTGAAGACAATTTCTTCTAATGATTTTTAGCATTTTGAATCTAGTTTTCAATGCCATAAACCATGCTAAATTTTGATTGTGTAGCTTTAATTATGACCCGATTTACAAACTGTGTCAAATGTTCCAAAGCTGGAAATTCGTGAACCAGGTTTCAAAAATCAACTTTCATAAAACTATTGTATCTTGGTGTAGAAAGATCCAAATTGAGTTCTGTTTATTGCATTTGAAACTAGATTTGGATTGCTTTCATTGGTATAAATTTCAAGGGTTGATTCTATTTCAATGAAATTTTCGAAATTTCCAAAATTCACTGAAAATTCAAGACTGTTTTGCTCTGTTCTCACTGAAATAGTGATTTGGAGCTAAGATTTGACTGATTTCAAATTTGAATCTAGAAAAAGTGTCTTCTAGAGAGTTTTAGTTCATTGAGTCTATTTTCCAACAGTATAAGATTTGTAAAATTTAGACTCATGGAACTCAAGTTATGATTTTTCAAAGAAGGTTGCCAAAACTGAATTTTTCTTTGTAAATTGACAATACTCCAAAGTCACTTGGAAACATTTTCTAGGTTACAAGTATAACTTTTTTGGTTATTTGCACCTCATTTCATACTTGAGAAATGGATTTCAATCCCTAGTCTTACGTCCTTGGTTTCCATGAAATTGAACCGCAAAATGGAGCGTTTTAGCTAGAGGAACTCTTGAGGAGTTACACTAGCTTTCTCTTGGAAACCTGGAACTTTTAACTTCGACCTTTACTATGAAAATGAGTAACATTTTTGTGACGCCCCCACCTCTCCCTAAGACGAACCAAAGGGTATCCGCGGGATGCCTGCTCAGCTCTCGCCAGAACTCAAGACCAATCTTGTTCAAGCTTAACACAATATTATCTATCGCAACAAGGCAAGTAAGAAAGATAAGTCGCTTCTATAAGTAACATTAAAATTTACACCACAAATTCCACAATATAACAATCATCCAATTCTTACATTTGATCCCAAAAGATATCTCAATCCCCAAAGTACAAAATAGCCAAGCAGTCTAGTCAATTACATTTGGACCCTAATACAAAAGTACTTCAAAATGGGTCCCATCAAGTTCCACATCCTCCATCCCTGTTAAGAAAAACAAATCTACGGGGTGAGCGGAACGCTCGTGAGGCCAAGAACACGCATGTAAGCATATAGTTCAAGTAGCAAGCCCAAATAACAGGTCAAATGATACAGTGCGAGTAATTAACAATTCAAGTAAAATGTAAAACAGAAACAATTCAAGGATATGATAGCTTTCAGGAGCTAAGCTCCACTTGCTTGCCAATCTCATGAGTATATCTTTCCGCAATGACTCTCCGTCATCCGGGTCGATATTTCTAATCCGTAGATTCCACTTACTTCTCATGTCCGTCTACCGTACAACCCTCACCGGGCCCGAACGACATTTATAAGGCGATACTCCACGAGTATGCCATGCAAGATCTCTCGATAGATCAAGCTTATCATGTAATTCTCATGGCTCACCGAGGTTCCCGACCAAGCCAATGCCGGCTCGAGTTCCAAGGTCGGCCTATGAGTTTGGGCGTCCCCCATGTACATTTGAGTGTCGAGAAGGTTCACTCCAACGACGTATGCAGTCATAGCATACTATTTCATATAATTCAAGCATTTGAACTTTCGAGCATTTGACATATTAAAACATTTCAAGTATGAGTGATTCATTTCAAGTGAGAACAAGTGCGATAAAGTACACACTCGACTCCATTTTCAAAATCTCAAGTCATCGATAGTAAACAAGCATGTATAA